TAGTCCTTCCAGAAGGAGGGTCACTATAAGACAAAATGGTTTCATTTCCTCTGATGTCCATGCTAAGTTGTAGCAGTAGCGAGCAGGGACGGACTGACCATTTGGAAACTCGGGCACTGCCCGAGGGCCCAGGGTCAGTAGGGGGCCCCATGAGATGCCCCTGGTACCTTTTTCATAGGCTTTTTCGAGTTTGGGCAAGGACACAGGGGCCCCATGATCCCCCTATTGCCCAGGGGCCCCATGAGTTGTCAGTCCGCCTCTGGTAGTGAGCTTAGTGAACCATTCATTCTTCACCTAGTGCTATAGTTTTTTTTTGTTTAAATTCCTTGGCAGCTGGTTATATGTGACTACATATGGTCAGACATTGCCCCCCAGTGGCCTATTCTCAGAATGTCTTGCAAGGGAAACTCAAATTTTGCTAAAAAGAAATAAAAAAAATGTTTGAAATTGCCATTTTGTAATTTGGGTCCAATTATGCTCGTGTAGATAGATCTGTAGTGGGATAGACCAGGGCTTGACAAATCCCAGGTGCCAGGCCGCCATGGTGAATAGAAATTGCGCTCTGGTGCCTGGGTTCACACATTGCCTCCCATTGACATACTTAAATAGTTAGTTTGGCTGAAAAAAGACAAAAGTCCATCCAGTTCAACCATAGAAAAAAAAAGAAGTTAAAATACTAGACCCACAGTTAATCCAGAGGAAGGCAAAAAAAAAAAACCAGCAACGCACGATCCAATTTGCTCCTGCAGGGGGAAAAAATTCCTTCCTGATCCCCTGAGAGGCAATCGGATATTCCCTGGATCAACTTTACCTATACAGTGAAGGAAATGCGTATTTGATCCCTGGCTGATTTTGAATGTTTGTCCACTTACAAAGAAATGATTGGTCTAAGAATCAAATGTTCGGTGTATTGTAACACTGAGAGACAGAATAGCAACAAAAAATTCAGCAGAAATGCATGTCTAACAAATGATGACTGATTTGCATGTTCATGAGGGAAATACGTATTTGATCCCCTATCAGTCAGCAGGATTTCTAGCTTACAGGTATCTTTCATACAGGTAACAAGCTGAGATTAGAAGCAGTCTCTTAAGGGAGTGCTGCTAATCTCATTTTGAGGAGGACTGGTTGAAAGTGTTGTGGTCTGATGAAACCAAAATCGAGCTCTTTGAAATCAACTCAACTCACCGTGTTTGGAGGAGGAGGAATGCTGCCTATGACCCCAAGAACACCATCCCAACTGTCAAACGTGGTGGAAACATTCTGCTTTGGGGGAATTTCCTGCTAAGGGGACAGGACAACTGCACTGCATCAAAGGGACGATGGACGGGGCAATGTACTGTCAAATCTTGGGTGAGAACCTTCTTCCCTCAGCCAGGGCATTGAAAATGGGTCGTGGATGGGTGTTCCAGCATGACAATGACCCAAAACACACGGCCAAGGCAACCAAGGAGTGGCTCAAGAAGAAGCACATTTAGGTCCTGGAGTGGTCTAGCCAGTCTCCAGACCTTAATCTGATTGAAAATCTGTGGAGGGAGCTAAAAGTTCGAGTTGCCAAATGTCAGTCACCAAACATTAATGACTTGGAGAGGATCTGCCAAGAGGAGTGGGCCAAAATCCCTCCTGAGATGTGTGCAAACCTGGTGGCCAACTCCAGGAAACGTCTGACCTCTGTGGTTGCCAACAAGGGATTTGCCACCAAGTACTAAGTCATGTTTTGTGAAGGGGATCAAATACTTATTTCCCTCATGAACATGCAAATCAGTCATCATTTGTTAGACATGCATTTCTGCTGAATTTTTGCTTTACAAAGAATTTTATTATAGAATAGATAGGAGCAGAGAAACAGTCCAAAACAGATGCATTGATCAACAGGAATAAAACATACAGTGTATTTGATGAATATTAGAGAATATGTACTGATGGAGAGACATAGAAATAAACTGCATACTTAAGTGCTGGGTACAGAAAAAAGAGAACACACACAAAAAAAAGGGAAAAAACAATAAGTTGCAAAAATGGTAAACATTTAAAGACCAATGTCAATATAAACTCTAAGGAAACATTGTCACTATATCAGCATACAGAAAGCGAAGAAGATATGAGATGGAGCCTCTCTAAACGCAGATAGGCATTCCACACGCAGGGCTCCCGATGGAGTCCAGCATAAGGATATAGTATTGCTGGTGCGGCACTCAAAGCAATAATCACAATCAGTACACATAGCAGAAAGACAGACTAGAGCAAAGGAAAGACAGGAACGATGAGTAAGGAGACAAAAACAAAAACAAAAAGGGCTCCAGGGGGATCGCAACAGAAAAAAAAAAAGAAAAATAAACTAATATGTGAATTTTATATCGACAAAAGGGACTGGTCGAATCTCGATGGTTGGGCTATATCAAGCCAGGGACGCCATGTCTGCAGGAATTTTGTGTGGGTGTCTAGCAGTATAGCCATCAGTTTTTCATTGACCATTATGAAGTTCATCCAGCTTTTGACAGCCTCATAGCTGAGGAGGGGAGTCTTCCAGGCCTTTGCGATCGTCAGCTTGGTAGCCATAAACAGGTGTGACGCCAGCTGCCGTTCGGGACGAAGTAGGCCCACTAATGGTTTAAATAAAAGTGCTTCATACAGGTTGCGGTTAATGTCTGTGTGAAACATAGTACAGTGAAGGGCATAAACTCTGATCCACAATCTGCAAACCTTAGGACAAGTCCACCAAATATGGACCATAGTACCCATCTGTTGACAGCCCTGAAAGCAAGTCGGGGAATATGTAGGGATAAAACGAGCCAGACGAGCAGGTGTGTAATACCATCTATGAAAAACCTTATAGGCATTTTCTAGTATGATAACATTCCTAGAGCATTTAGATAACGCTTGGGTCATGGTCCCCCAATCCTGTTGATCCAGAGTGCCCCCCGAGTTCCAACTGCCAACGCTGATGATAAGAACGGACCGGAAGAGAGTGAATATAAGAAATAATGGAAGAGTAGACTAGAGATATTAAGCCCGGAGCATGGGGTCTATGTCTACATTGACTTTCAAAGGGGGATAACCTGTAGGGTCCCGAGTGCGTCTGTATTAATGTATTTATAAAGTGGTGGAGTTGAAGGTAGCCAAAATGTTTCCGCAATGGGAGCGCAGGGTTTCAAAGGTGAGTAGTCGAGTGGGAGGTAGCATCGAATGTACATCATGGAAGCCATTTGCTTGCCACCAAGCAAACTGTCCAGGATTATCACGACCTGGGGGGAATAATGGGTTATGTAGCAAACGTAGCAGCGGTAGGTGGGCAGAGATGAGGCCTGCAGAATATTTAATAGAATCCCAAAGACGAAGCGTTAGCATCAGCGTTGGACTAAGGGATGAAGGTCGATGAGTAGAAGGAAGCCACAGCAAAGAAAAGAGTGGTATTGGGTGGGAGTCCATCAAGTCTATAGAAGCCCATAAAGGAAAGTTGTGAGATGCATGGAGATGGGCTAGGGGGGCAATATTGGCCGCCAGATAGTAAGACTGAAGATTTGGGACAGATAACCCACCCGCGGTCTTACGAGCAAATAAGATTTGTTTACTAATTCTGGGTCGAGAAGAACCCCAAATGAAAGACAGGAGTTTTCACTGATGAATACGCAATATATGTGAGGAAACAGGGACAGGTAGAACTCAAAAATACTTTGGGAAGATAGGTCATACGGATCGCATTGATTCTACCGAACCATGATAGTGGAATTTCTGCTGAATTTTTTGTTTTGCTATTCTGTCTCAGTGTTACAAATACACTGAACATTCGATTTTAGACTTATCATTTCTTTGTGAGTGGGCATTCAAAATCAGCAGGGGAGCAAATACGCATTTCCTTCATTGTAAATGTTAGCACTTCAATGCAAAATTGTGTCCCTGTGCCTTCAATGCAATATCGCTTCCCATTGATTTAAATGCAGAAATGCCTCCTTTTTTACTTCAAAGCAATATCGCTTCCCAGTCACTACAATACAAAAAACGCCACCCATTGACTTCAATACAAAAACATTTCTTTGAGTTTAAATGCCAAAACTCCTGTCAATAGCAATCCTATGTGAACACTTATGCCACTCTACTTAATGATTGTCGTGTGGTAAATTGCACTGCGTGAAGCTTGTCGCCCAAAAGTTGCCTTGCCCCGGGTGCTGACAAGCCACGTTACACTAAAGAAAACTGGCTCCTAACTTTTTAGGCTGGCTCCTGGATTCAAAACAAATATGTCAAGCCCTGAGATAGACATTGTACTCAGGGGCGGATTGACCATTTGGAAATTCTGGCACTGCCGAGGGCCCGGGGTCAGTAGGGGGCCCATGAGATGCCCCTGGTACCTTTTTCATTGGCTTTTTTGAGTTTGGGCAAAGACACAGGGGCCCCATGATCCCCTATTGCCCGGTGGCCCCATGAGTTGTCAGTCTGCCCCTGATTGTACTGACAACCTAAATATGTGCACCAGAGTGGAGGCACTTCTCTCCGTAATCAGCACTTAGTAACAAACCTGCCTACACCCTCCTTCCCTTCTTTCGCTATACAAGTGTGTGCTGGTTGGTGTGGCTGCTACTCAGCTCTGCATGCACAGAGTATTGCAGTGTAGAGCAAGAAGCAGCCTTTTTGCTGTACTCACCGACCACAGATTACCCAATGATGGCTTCACTGCGAAGGGTGTCATATGACGTCCTCCCAGAGCGCGCCCTCCCATGCGCACCCGACGATCTCCGTGATCGCTGTGTCCTGTGGACACAGCTGATCACGTGATATGGTAAAAGGCCAATCACAGCGGGTCTTTTACCACGTGATATCAAAGCTGATCACATGTGCAGCACCAGGGCAACTGCAAATCAAACAGAGGCTAAGATGGTAGCTTCCTTGGCTGTAACAAATAGGAGGGTTTACTTCCACTTTAAATGAGGAGGTATTGGCTACCTCTAGGCATACCTGTCCTCAGTGTATTCAATTCTATACATATGAATTATAAGTTAGGGTTCATACCAGGGGCGGACTGACCATTTGGAAACTTGGGCACTGCCCCAGGGCCTGGGGTCAGTAGGGGGCCCCATGAGATGCCCCTGGTACCTTTTTCATAGGCTTTTTTTTGAGTTTGGGCAAGGACACAGGGGCCCCATGATCCCCTATTGCCCGGGGGGCCCCATGAGTTGTCAGTCCGGCCCTGGTTCACACTTCATGAAGGAGCCTTGCCAGGTAGTGCTTCCGCATATTTTGGCAAATGTATGTAGCACTCTCCTAGTGCAGCTAGGGGGAGCTGGACCCTAATGGTTAGTCAGGAGCAGGGGCGGACTGACCATTTGGGAACTCGGGCACTGCCCGAGGGCCCAAGGTCAGTAGGGGGCCCCATAAGATGCCCCTGGTACCTTTTCATGGGCTTTTTTTGGTGTGGTTTGAGTGTGGGCGAGGGACACAGGGGCCCCATGATCCCCTGTTGCCCGGAGGCCCCATGAGTTGTTAGTCCACCCCTGGTCAGGAGCTTGTTACCAGCTCAGGTGTGATAGCCAGAGGGGTCAAATTGTGGTCAGGGCTGAGAGACTCTGCAGGCCAGCCCCTCTGGAATTTTTCCCTGCTCTGAGGCTTTTGGAGAGGGCCTTGGAGGCAGTGGGTGGATCTGAGGGGTGGCTGGCTTGTTAGGGTAAGGGGTTAGAGTTAAGGTTAGGTTAGGGTAGGGTTAGGATTAGGGTTTGGGTTGGGATTAGTATTTTATTTATTTATTTTCTTATTATTTATTCATAGTATTTTACTTATTATTTTCTCATTATTAATTTATTTTTTTGCTAAGGTAATAATATTAATATGAATAAATAAATGTAAAATAAATACACAAGTAAGGCTAAGGCTGCATTCACACCTGAGTGTTTTGTAGCGCGAAGCTCCAAGCTCCAAAATGCTCAGGTCGAAAAAAAAAATCAATATTACTCTATGGAGATGGTTCACATCTCCACTCCAAGTCGCCTGAAATTTGGAGCTACTTTTGTAGCTCAATTTGGGTAGATATGCATGTTTTTGGCACGTTTTTATTCCCATATACCCTAACAAAAAACAAAATAATAAAAAAAAATGAATAATAACAATAATAATAATAAAAAATAAACCTGATGGAAAAACTACAAAAAAGAAAAACCTAGCAAGAAATGATAATTTTCTCTACTGGCTAATAAAAAAACGACAAAGTTCAAAAACGCCTAAAAACGCTGTATGAAAATGAGCAAAAAACGCGCACAACAAAATGCACCAAAAACTCTGAAAAACGCTATGCTCAGATGTGAATGGAGCCTAAGAGGAAGACGAGTATCTCCTGTCCTGTGAATGGAGCCTAAGAGGAACACGAGTATCTCCCGTGTCTTGTGAATGGAGCCTAAGAGGAACACGAGAATCTCCCGTCCTGTGAATGGAGCCTAAGAGGAACACGAGTATCTCCTGTCCTGTGAATGGAGCCTAAGAGGAACACGAGTATCTCCTGTCCTGTGAATGGAGCCTAAGAGGAACACGAGAATCTCCCGTCCTGTGAATGGGGCCTAAGAGGAACACGAGTATCTCCCGTCCTGTGAATGGAGCCTAAGAGGAACACGAGTATCTCCTGTCCTGTGAATGGAGCCTAAGAGGAACACGAGAGTATCTCCCGTCTGTGAATGGAGCCTAAGAGGAACACGAGTATCTCCCGTCCTGTGAATGGAGCCTAAGAGAACACGAGTATCTCCCGTCCTGTGAATGGAGCCTAAGAGGAACACGAGTATCTCCTGTCCTGTGAATGGAGCCTAAGAGGAACACGAGTATCTCCCGTCCTGTGAATGGGGACTAAGAGGAGCACGAGTATCTCTTGACCTGTGAATGGAGCCTAAGGGGAACCCAAAATCACGAGTATCTCCCTGTCCTGTGAATGGATGGAGCCTAAGAGGAACACGAGTATCTCCTGTCTTGTGAATGGAGCCTAACAGGAACACGAGTATCTCCCGTCCTGTGAATTGAGCCTAAGAGGAACACAGAATCTCCTGTCCTGTGAATGGAGCCGCGAGTATCTCCCGGCCTGTGAATGGAGCCTAAGAGAACACGAGAATCTCCCGTCCTGTGAATGGAGCCTAAGAGGAACACGAGTATCTCCTGTCCTGTGAATGGAGCCTAAGAGGAACACGAGTATCTCCTGTCCTGTGAATGGAGCCTAAGAGGAACACGAGTATCTCCTGTCCTCCATTCTCCCCCCATGGTGGGGCTACCAGCACCACTTGTGCAGGGAGGTAAAACTACATCTGCCTACAAGATGATGTTTAAGAAAAGCACCCGTTGTTGATCAGCAATCTTTTTATTTGAAAACTTTAAATAAAGAGTTATTTGAACTAAAAAGCCATAACACTGTCAGTTTTAGGTGAAGAAAAATATCCCAAATTTTTCATTACACAAGGCTGGGAGGTATGTCCAAGTTACTGTTAGTTATTCAGATGAACAGGTATGATTTGCCTCTTTTATCTATAATATTTATTCTTTTTATTTATTTCAGGTACTTATATAGCGCCATCAATGTACGCAGGACTTTACATATATATATTGTACATTCACATCAGTCCCTAACCCTCAAGGGGCGTACAATCTAAGGTCCCTAACTCACATTCATACATACACATACTAGGGACAATTTACACAGCAGCCAATTAACCTACCAGCATGTCTTTGGAGTGTGTGGGAGGAAACCCACGCAGGCACAGGGAGAACATGCAAACTCCAGGCAGGTGGTGCCGTGGTTGGGATTCAAACTGGTGACCCCAGTACTGCCAGGCAGAAGTGCTAACCACTTACCCACTGTGCTGCCCAATAATAAACAAATTGTTAAATTTTATATACACGTGATTCTAAAATTCAAAGTAAAAATCTGTAGATTCCTGATCAGTATTTGCTGAAGACGGCAATGATATGGTCTTTGTTACTGGGTATGTAGTCACTGACACCTGGAGGGACAAAACAGAAGAAAATGTGGTAAAGCGAGCTACACGAGCCCCCATTCCCCAGCACTCCCAACACCATGAAAACGTCTATAGATACAGTATTACCCAATAAATGTCTAAAAATGAACTTTTATTTAAATTATCTTCAAATGAACTCCGCTTTATTATATTATGTTAAATTGGTTTTGTGTCTTCCTTTATTTGTACATCTAATTACACACTATATTCACTTATCAAAGACCTCCTAGATTGTAAGCTCTAAGGATCAGGGCCCTCTGTTTCCTCTTGTACCCATGTTTTGTAACTGTACTGTCAGCCTTCATTTTTGTAAAGTGCAAAACAGTTGCAGCGCATATATGACATCCTGTCATAATAAAAAAAAAAAAATGGGCTGGAGAAAAGATGCAATGTAACTTAATATTTGGTTGCACACCCTTTGGAAAACATAACTGAAATCAGTCGCTTCCTATAACCATCAATAAGCTTCTGACACCTCTCACCCGGAATTTTGGACCACATCTTTGCACAGTTGCAAACATCCAGTTTTTAGTCATCTTTATTTTTTGGAAGTGACAGCCACTTTTCCCGGGGCAATTACTTAAGATCTCTCCACAGGTGTTCAATGGGGCATTCATAGATCTGGGCTCATTGCTGGCCACTGTAGGCAGGGACTCTCCAGCGTTCTTTGCCATCCATTTCTGAGTGCTTTTTGACGTATGTTTGGGGTCATTGTCCTGCGGTTAAACCCAGGATCTTGTGACGCAAACCCAGCTTTCTGACACTGGGCCCTACAGTGCGACCCAAAATCCTTTGGTAATCCTCAGATTTCATGATGCCTTGCACACAGTCAAGGCACCCAGTGCCAGAGGCAGCAAAACAACCCCAAAACATCATTGAACCTCCACCATATTTTACCGTAGGTACTGTGTTTTGTTCTTTGTAGGCCTCATTCGTCCGTTTTCGGTAAACAGTAGAATGATGTGCTTTAACCGAAAAGCTCTATCTTGGTCTCATCTGTCCACAAGACGTTTTCCCAGAAGGCTTTTGGCTTACTCAAGTACATTTTGGCAAACTGTAGTCTTGCTTTTTTATGTCTCTGTGTCAGCAGTGGGGTCCTCCTGGGTCTCCTGCCAACAAGGCGTTTCATTTCATTTAAATGTCGACGGATAGTTCGCGGTGACACTGATGCTCCCTGAGCCTGCAGGACAGCTTGAATGTCTTTGGAACATGTTTGGGGCTGCTTATCCACCATCCTGCTATTCTGCGTTGCAATCTTTCATCAATTTTCCTCATCCGTCCACGACCAGGGAGATTAGCTACAGTGCCATGGGTTGCAAACTTCTTGATAATGTTGCGCACTGTGGACAAAGGCAAATCTAGTTCTCTGGAGATGGACTTGTAACCTTGAGATTGTTGATATTTTGCCACAATTTTGGTTCTCAGGTCCTCAGACAGTTCTCCGTCTCCCTCTTATGTTGTCCATGCTTAGTGTGGCACAGACAGACACACAATGCAAAGGTTAAGTGAACGTCTCTTCATCCTTTTTATCTGCTTTCAGGTGTGACCATCTATTCATCCCATACCTGTTACTTACCATCCTAGGTGAGTTTACAGGAGCATCACATGCTTGTAACCATCCTATTCATCCGCAGTTGTGATACCTCTTATATACCATCCTATTCATTTGTGTGACATATACCGAATTTGCTTTCTACCTCCCTATTCATCCGTCCCAATACCTCTTAGGGAATAAACATCCTATTCAAATCTGTGTTTACCTTGCAATACCATCCTGATTCATCCGTATCACCAACTTATATACCATCCTGTATATGTTATTGGTTTTGTGTCTTCCTTTATTTGTACATCTAATTACACACTATATTCCTTATCATAGACCTCCTAGATTGTAAGCTCTAAGGATCAGGGCCCTCTGTTTCCTCTTGTACCCAATTATATTGTAACTGTACTGTCAGCCTTCATTTTGTAAAGTGCAAACTGTTGGCGCGATATAAATCCTGTATAATAATAAAAATAATAAATGATGGAGAATGATGCAATGTAACCATGCATCTGTGAATATTTTCGCATAAACAATGAACTTGCACATTGAACACTTGCACATTGCCAACATTTAAAAAATGTTTTTAGGAACATATTTTTTTTTGTGTGTTCAGCCACTGTAGGCGGTGCATTACTTAAAGCAGGGTGGGGCATTCATTTATCATGGGCGTGGTTCTACAAGATGTAGGCTGG